GACTAGAAAAAAATCCATGTAATGAATCTAAATGAAAAGCAGTGTCTAATGGTAAGCTCATAATAATGATAAATTTATCATAAAATAGTTTAACAATAAGTAAATATTTTTAATGTTCAGAATAAACAATACTATTTTATTTCTTGTTATTATATATGAACAAAATCAGAATAAAACGCAATGTGTTTCAAGTGACATTGAGTTTTACATAATAGAAATTTAATGAATTTTACAGTTTAGTAATTATGAAAGTGGTGTAAGTCCATTTATGGCCCAGAAAGAATATATTAGTTTGGATAAATTCACATAGAAGTCTTTATGCAATCAACTTACATATTTCTAAAGTCATAGAAACATTGTCAAACTTAGTATACTTTGTTTATATTTTTGAATCAACTAAAATGCAAATGTTTAAATATCTCGAAAGAAGAAAAAATGGACTTACACCACTTTCAAAATAAACGGTCCAATTAATAATATAAACTGCAGGTAAACAGCGTATGTCTGGTGAGAACCACAGATTGCCAGATAAGTTTTATAAAAAGTAAAAAATTCCTTGAAATGTAGCCCCAATTATTTTTTAAAGTGGCCAAAAATGTAGTAAGTCACCCAAATGTAATAGCCTAGATCCATATAATTATCTCAATCTGCTACTTGGGTCCAATCTTGCAATCTAAACCCAGTCATATTTTATGAAATAAGAGAGAGAGAGAGAAAAAAAAATATAGTAATCCATATGTAAGATGATAGCCAAAAATGCATTATAATAAAAACAAAGTCATATTGACCATATTAGAGTTGTTCTTAGTCCATTGCTCTCTTACATCATGGAAGCACTACAATCTAAACAAACCAGTTAACATATGTATATCACAGTTCAGGCAGAATTTTCACTTCAAATTATGAAATAGCAATATTTTAAAAATAACTGAATTCCTTAACATGTAAATTTCTATATCCCCTTCAGGGACTACAGTTATGAAGTAATGGGATTTCAAACTATCCAAGTTTGAATTAACAAGGATTTCCTATATATATTATAATTAGTATCATTAAATAAATTTACTGCAGAAAAAATTCCAAAAATCGAATAGAATATTACAAAAAGAAGGTACTTAGATATAAAAAATAGGAATGAAAATATCATGCCAAAACATATATGAGAATAAAAAAATAAACAAATACCAAAAACAAAAAAAGGGTTCAATTTCTTGCAGAAGATCAAATATCATTGAAGTAAACTTAAATAGTACCAATTTGTCACTTGCATACAAATATTCTGAAAATAAATTTCAAATTATAAACTAATGAACAATTCCAAAGATTAGGATGAGGAGAAATGAAAATCAATGGAAGTATTTCAGATTCTAAGTAAAGTCTAGATCAGGGGTGTCCAACCACGGCCCAAGGCAAGTTTCAATGCGGCTCAATAAATGCGTAAACAAAACCGACAAATTCTTTTATTTTATTTATTTATTTAAACAGCACAAACTCAAAAAAGAAGTTTCACAAATTCGTAAACTTTATACATATTTTATTTTTGAGTGGAAAGGAAATATTTTCAAATACTTGGAAATGTATGAATGAGGAAGATATACTAAATAAAGCTGGAGTTGTGGCTCAAAGGAGTACAGACTCAAATTCAGGGAAAGGAGAGAAAGGCCAAAAGATAAAAAGTAGTGAGAAAGGTTAAATAGACCTTCTGTTATGCAAATATTGACCCTTAATTTTCCAACTTTCCTCACTTCTGTATCTTTTGTCCTTTCTCTCCTTTCAGGTTTATAATCCTTTGAGTCACAACTCCAGTTTTATTTAGTATTCCATCCAGTGTTGCAAGATTTGGCTACCCTTTTATTAGTTTGGTGTAAAAAATATCATTTGGTGCATTGGCTATTTTTTGGGCTACATATTATTTATAAATATATTAGTTGAATAAAAATGCACTTTAAAATGGTGTTTCATCGCTTTTTATTAATTAGAGACCCAAATAAAACAAATATTTGTGTTTTTCAAATAAATTTTTGTTTGTCTCCTTTATAATAAATGAATTTATCTATTTCTAAGTAAAAATTGAGTGTTTGTAAGTGATTTTTTAAAATATCTCTTTTTGTAATAAAGTTTTAATACTTATTACTATAATCTAGACATGTTAATCCTTAAATATACTTGTATATTTAAGGATTGGGCCAAAATATACATGGGGCCCAAAACTCCATGACTTCTTTCAATGTGGCCCAGAAAAACAAAAAGGTTGGACACCCCTGATCTAGATGAAGAATCAAAAATAATGCTTTTTATTCAATATAAGAACATGTGCCTGGATAAATTAAATATATTGATAATTACCAGACTTCTTAATAAAATGGAGAGAATTTCTTTTTCTTCCTTAGGACTCTATGATAAATATTCATGGTTGCAAATGTTAGAATACCTGAGAACTCATACTACACTAAATTGATTTTTTCTGTCATTTAGGAATTTTTATATGCAACATACAGATGTTTATTAATTATTTTGGATTTATTTCTGGGTGTATCCTGATTCAATCAAACATTAACCACTAAAATCACAAACTCATCATGTGCAGATCTAAGAAACACTATTTAGGTGTATTTTCTTACACAGACATTATTAAACATGTTGAAAAACTAAATTTGGTCAAGAATGGGAAAATTCTGAATATTTATAAGAACAGGAAGAACTGTATTAACTGCCAAGAAGTAGATACACTTTCGATGTCTGGATATTCAGTATGAAATGACTAATTTTAGACATTTATTTATTATTTTTATGCCTTTTATTTTTTGTTAATTTTTAAATTTACGAGGGTGGATCAAACATAAATGGGATTTATTTTATGTTTTAAAATTATTTATTAAAAATAAAAAAACATTATGATTTATTTTTCTACATAGCTTCCTGCTATAGAAATACNAAATGGGATTTATTTTATGTTTTAAAATTATTTATTAAAAAATAAAAAAACGTTATGATTTATTTTTCTACATAGCTTCCTGCTATATAAATATATTTTTCCCAGTGAAAAGGAAGGTTTCTTATTCCAGTATCATAGAATGAAGTTGGTTGCATCAGGAGCCAATTCAGCACGAATTCCTCCACTCCTGCATTATCTTCGAATCACTGCCTTCCTATAGCTTCTTTAAGCAGCCCAAACGTGAAAATTGCAGGGCGATAGGTCCAGGCTGTAGGGAGGATGATCAAGTGCAGTCCAGTGCATTTCGTTAAGTTTTGAGATTGTTAGAGCTGCAGTATGGAACCTGGCGTTGTCATGGAGGAGAATGACATCTCGATTGCTTGACAGCTTCCATAACTTATTCCGACCTGCTCTGCAATTTCGCAAACTCTGATTCATCTCTCCTCTTCAATAATGTCTCAAACCGCTTGAATATTTTCGCTTGTGATGCTGGTCCAAGGATGGCGATCGTTTCTGATTTTCCACTCATGTCTGTCCTTCCTTGAACTTTTTATGCCAGGCAAACACACGAGTCCTTGACAGTGTTTAATCCCCAAACTGTGCAGTCAATCTGCAAAAATTTTCTGTCGTGTTGACTCCTTCATGAGCAAGAAATTGTATGATTATGTGTTGCACAATAGAGGGGTGTACCTATTGCTCTGACATTGTGAGTACTACTGACGAATTGGTTGAAAGTATGAAATGGCCAGCATTTTCCACTCTTAATGACTCTACCCAATCAGACTAGAAGCATGGGCCCTGTACTACCAACCTTAGTTGCTGAGGAACAAAAATCCCATTTATATTTGATTCACCCTCGTATATTAATGATTAAATATTTGTTGTTCTAACATATGACTTTTGTATTTTAAGTAATTTTATTTTAGGATCTAATTATGGCCACGAGAACTAAAAATATTTTTATAGATATAGAGCTGATTATGAAGTTTTATTTTGAATTATTTGTTTATTCAATATATCTGTATTTTTGTTTTTACTTTGAAGCCATAAATCTGATAATATATGTCAATATTATGAAAAATTGTAAGAATTCCTTCAATAATTACTTTGCAAAAACAATTATAATTAAACTTTTAAAATTATTCATTTGCCAACTAAATTTAATGGCTTGAAGTACATTATATATTTTGTTGTAAATCTAAATATTTAAGAATTGTTGACATTGTCATCATATGTAAATAATAGTTTTATTGATAACATTTACTCAGTATACCACAATAAGTGATAAAAACTTTGTGCAAATGTATTTATAATTTTGAGTTACATAAAAAATCTATCTGAAATAACATCATTGACTTTACATGTAACTATTCATAACAAATCCAAACAGAATTTAACATAAACTTAAAGAAATTTTGCTAATTTATAAATTATTAATTTCTTACCTGAGTTCTTTTTCAGTTATTCTTTCTCCAAGATTACCAACATATAAAGTTGTAATTGTTTTATCTTCAGGAGCTTCCAATTTTGGCATTGCTGCAGCTCTCCTTAATAATTTATCTGCTACAGGATCATTTAAACCATAATAACGATCTTTAATATTTTGATCTGCTAAAGGATCATCAGGATCTGTTGGCTTTTCATGTCTACATAGTAATATAATATATAAATGTATAATGAATAATAATATACACTATATATATAATGAGTACACTGTAAATCCTCCAATAGATGTTGTAGACCTGGTGTCTCCTATAAACACAAGTTATTTAGTTTAAACTGCTAAATAGATGCCAAATTTCCAGTAGCTGCCAGGTGTCATTAAATTCCTATGCTCAACTCACAAAGCTTAAAAGTGTCTGTATGTGCTGTGGTAATTTTCCTGTTGTAGTAAAAACATTTTTCAAGGGTTTCCACAGGAAACCCTTGAAAAATGTTTTTACTACAACATCAAAGATTTTATTTCAGTTACCTCCTGAAGTATATCGTAAATATGTGAATGGGAACATCTCTTATTTTCTGTTACAAACTCTATTTTACACAGTGAACTAGACATTGATTGGAATGACAACAAAGAGACCTTACAGCATTACCTTCAAACAGAATGCAGTTGCATATGCAAAAAGTACACATTAGTAGTAGTGTGAAAATTCAAAATGCATCCAAAGTGAATTCATGTGTGGAAGAGTAGGCATGATGCTCTTAAGACTTTTTTAATCTTCTGAAACTGTGTTTTCTTAATCAAATGAATCAAAGTTCTTAAGACTATCAAAAATAAGAGTGAAGCAAAGAGGATGGCAAGAGGATGGTGCAAGATGATCAACAAAGAATTAGAAGAAAAGGTTCTACAGTGGATTTGTGAACAGTGAGAGAAAATAACAGATCTCCAGATGGATGGTGATGGTCAAAGCAAGAGAAATCTTCATCCAGTTAGATGAAAGTGATAAGTAAATGTGGTGTTCACAGCTAGCAGAGGATGGCTAAAAAAATTCATGAAACATAGATATGGTAATACAATAACAACTCTATTCTTATGGTAGTAATGTTGTGTAATAGCATACATTTTATTAAATAAAACAGAGAAGTTCTTGTGAATTACTTGCAGTTTTCATTATTTGGGTGAGAATGAGTGATGGGAACAAGACTACCGAATTTCTCCCATTTTTTTATCACTAGTTTGGATGCAAAATTCTGCAAGAATTAAATAGACATTGGGTCTCTTAAACATGCCAGGGGCTAAATATATTTTGTTCCATAGATACCTGTGCATCTATTAAGAGGATTACAGTATATTATATACATTAAAAATTTTTTGTTTAATAGTATACTTGCTTACTGGAGAATAAAATCAATAAAAATAAAAACCATTCAACTATCCAGCAAAATTCTTTAATAATTTAAAAACGTTTTCAAACGCATTAAGCGTTCATCATCAGTTATTTCTCTAATTCGAAATGTGAAATTCGAAAAATTACGCAACAAAAATTCCAAATAACGATTATGTAAAAAATTAAAAGATAACGTGTTACAAACAAAAGTGCTATATACAAATTTTCGTGTGCTTAATAAACAAAAATAATAATAACAACAACAAATAAATAAATAAATAAAATATCTATCAACGATCATCATAAGCCTGATTGAGCCTTTTATATAGATCTATGCCAAATCGTCGCAAAAAGATTTCCAAGCGGACAAAAGCCCGTCGGCATCCCTATAGTTGATACACTGTGCGCTCTTCTGTGCCTATGGATTTCCAGCTTTTCGAGATATTTTACCGCGTGTCTAGATGACTACATCGACAGCACCGAATGTCTTCCTGCCCCGAGTAATTACCTGGAAGCTTTACAACAAAGAGTGAGAAAATTTACCCTAACTCCTTTAGCCAATTATCTAGGTATGAGGTCTGCTACTTTACAAGCTCCTAGGACATCACGAATTTTTGCTTTCGGAAAAACACATAAACCTGGTTCGCAGTTACGGCCTGTGGTAGAAAAATGTAATGCTCCAACTTTCAGAATAGAAAAACAACTTGTTAAATTTATACAAGGAAAGATGCAGGTTTTGCCTTTTTTGATAAAAAACTCGGTGGACTTGATCCAGAAACTGGAAAATGTTGTGCTCATGAATGAGGAATGGATGACAGTGTTAGATTATAAGGTGTTATATCCATCAATCAAACTGCCTCCATACTTTTGTGCTCTGAGAGATTTTTTTATTCGCTAATGTTAATAATGCTACCAAATACCACATGCAGATTTTGGAATTAGCAGACTTGATTTGTCACACATCTTTCTTTGAATTTGAAAATAATACTTATCTACAGGGACGGAGAGTACCGATGGGTAGCCCCATGTCGTCGGTCCTCTGCGAATTGGTACTTCGTAATCTAGAAAACAGTATCATCCCTTCCTTACAACAAGATATATTAATATATGTGAGATATGATGATGATGTATTTATCTTGTGGAAGGATAATCACATCATCAAGCATTTTGTAGATCAGATAAACAGTAACCCATATGGTTTAACCTTGGAATTGGAGCAACAAGAGAGTAGTAGCGTCAATTTCTTGGATCTGACTATAACATGAATAAAAGGGGAAGTCTGAACCAATATTTATCGTAAACCGACATCTATATCCATCATTATCCCTAAGAATTTGGCAGATCCGGAGCATATTAAAATGTCGGTATTTCGATCTTGGATAAGGAGAGCACACACGCATTGCACAAATGTTGTTTGTTAAGGAGTTACAATATATACGAAGAACTGCCATGCAGCATGGCTACGTGAGAAGAAGAATAGAGGCTCTCATTAAGAAAGATAATAATCTTACAAGGAGGCAAAAGCAAAACCACCAAAAAAAAAAAAAAAAAATGGTCCTGATTATATACCCTTCCTTAAACCATTATCAAGAGGGTTTCCAAAAGTAAGAACTTGCAGATAGTTTATCGACGTAATCCACTATCTACAGAATGTTAAGGAATGACAAGGGGGATTATGAATGCAACTCCTTAACAGGAATATACTCAATACCACTAAGAGACTGCAGGTTCAACTCTAACTTAGTATATATAGGTGCAACTTTGAGGAATTTGAAAAAAAGAATCAATGAGCATAAGCTTTCAGTAAACAAAACAATTGACAGCACGGTCCTTGCCACTTATGCTAAACAACAAGGCATTACTGTTTTCTGGGACCAGGCCTCTATAATAAAAGCCACCACATCTAGACACGCGATAAAATATCTCGAAAAGCTGGAAATCCACAGGGCACAGAAGAGCACGCAGTGTATCAACTATAGGGATGCCGACGGGCTTTCGTCTGCTTGGAAATCTTTTTGCGACGATTTGGCATAGATCTATATAAAAGGCTCAATCAGGCTTATGATGATCGTTGATAGATATTTTATTTATTTATTTATTTGTTGTTATTATTATTATTTTTGTTTATTAAGCACACGAAAATTTGTATATAGCACTTTCATTTGTAACACGTTACCTTTTAATTTTTCACATAACAGTTATTTGGAATTTTTGTTGCATAATTTTTCAAATTTCACATTTTGAATTAGAGAAATAACTGATGATGAACGCTTAATGTGTTTGAAAACATTTAAAAATTATTAAAGAATTTTGCTGGATAGTTGAGTGGTTTTTATTTTTATTGATTTGTTGTTTATATAAAATTATCAGTATTGTTAATATAATCTTTAAATATAAAATAATTTGATAGTAAGAATAATTTATTCTTTGAATCATATTATGTTGTATGAAATTGAAGTAGGTTTTGAATCATCAACTAAAGTCATTTTGAACAATACCAAAAGTAAAATAATTTGTTACATTTATGTAAAAAGATATTTTCATGAAATAACTGAGAAGATAACCTGTCACTAGATTTAACATTCAATGTATAAGTGAACAGTATCACTGGAAAAAAAATTTAGGTGGAAATATGACTGCAATAAAAAGTGAAACATTATGAATTTAATATTTTTTCTATGGATCCCGAATCTTACTTTTTACTTTGATGGTTTTTTTAGCTAGCTTATATATCAAGATTTATACTTTGGAGAATCTTGCATATCTAACCATAAAAGTATGTTGTGTTTAAAATATCTTGAAGTTTCCAACTAAAAGTTATTAAACAGTTAAATCATTACCCTCCAAAAGTAAGTTTTTTTTTGAAGTTAATTTATAAACAGATTTTTATAAAACAACAAAAATTACTCAAATGTTTTTACTTTGAATGAACTCAGCATATAAATTTTACAAATAACTACATACAATGTGTTCAAAAAGTTCCAGGAATGCTGTTACTGCAGACATAATTGTCACCATCTCTATATCACTGCTAAAACTAATCATCCTCTAACCTTGTATTCAAATTCCATTGAATGAGACTCATTCTGTAGTAACCAGTGATGGTTTGAAATTGGTATGCTTTTTTTTTTTGGTTGTCACAATTTTCAAGATGGAACAAAGAGTCACAACCAAATTTTGTTCTAAATGAGATAGAAGTGCCATAGAAATATTTCTGATGATGAAAATGATGCAAAATCGCATTTTTCAATTCAAGAGGACTTATCAATCATAAATTCATGCCTTCTGAGCAGACTGTGAATGGACTTTTCTATGCAGAAGTACTTGTATTTGCAGGGTTAGATCAAAAATATACAAATTGGGAGAATAGTTTCCTCACCATGGTAATGTTCTGGTAATTCATTGTTCATTGTTTCACAATTTCTTACTAGAATATTAGTCACAGTGATCAACCATCCATTTTACTTGCTTGATTTGGCTCCAGCCAACTTTTTCCTATTTCCTAAATTGAAACAGCACTGCAAGGAGACTGTTTTGAAGATGTATACACCATTCAGAAGAATGTGATGTCATCTTGAATTGATTCCACAGGAGAAATACACACATGCCTTCCAGCAGTTGCACAAGTTTTCTCAAATATGTATTAAGGGAAAAGGAATGTACTGTATGTTGGATAATAAACAATAAAAAAATTTTATTTATCTGAGAAATTGTGTTCTTAGTAACATTAGCCTTGAAATTTTTTGAACCCACTGTACACATTATAATATGTTATTTGTAAATAGCCTGAAAATGAAATCATTTTCATGAAATCATGAAAACCATATATGTCAGGATGAATTTCAATACAAACCTATATGGACATTCTTCACCCCTCCTACATTCTCCCTTTACCCAGAAACTACAAATATGAGGTCTATTTCGTTTATAATACGGAGTTGTTCTTGCCAATTTCATTAGAAGTTCACTTGGTGCTTGAACTTTGCCAAGGGCACCATATGGTTGATTATTATCTGAGTTTTGGACCTACAAACAAAAAATTTTGTTTTTATTTCAGAAACCTCTTAAATATTTTATTATTATAATCAACATAATCAACAAATTATTTAATAAATAATTAAATCTTACTTCACGCTCAATATTTTGGGAATAATATTCTTTGTTAACTTCAGATTTTGGAATCTCATCTTTCAAATTAGAGGCATAATCTCTAACTTGTACTGGGAGACCTTTTAAAAAATATAAATTTGTTTTAAAAGCAGTTTATTCAAATTACTGTTTAATAATTCAAATGAATTAAATTCAGCATAAATATTTTACTTCTTTAATTGATTTAATTAAAATCTAAATAAAAATAAAACTTTTTAATTGAAAATAATTAGGATATTACTTACCAAATTCTAGATCAAGTAGACATGTCTGACACACATTTTTCATTTTACCACAAGTCTGACACACTTCTGTTTTTTTAAAACGCATTCTTGCTCCTGGACACCAACGAAATACAGTAAATGGTCTTGAACAAATTTTGCATTCCTTTCCAAAACGCTCTTTTGTCTAATTTAAGCAAAATGTATTTAATTCATTTAATTTTGAAAATGTTTTATCAATTATCATAAAATCCAAGAATATCAAAAATCTTTTTTACAATACCTAAAGATTATGTACATTTATAGAATGTATATACATGTGTGTATATATATTCACCAGATTTCCATTTAAAAACTTTTCATTTTGGCATTTATAGAATGTATATACATATGTGTATATATATTCACCAGATTTCCATTTAAAAACTTTTCATTTTGGCAGTAAAAGTAATTAAAACCAATAATTTTATGAAGGTATTTTTTTTTTATCACAAAACTAGTACAGTACCTTTGAGTAACTATAGTTCAAATATCCATAATATTTTGAATTAATTAATACCCATAAGCTATCAATGTGAAAATTATAATTTTTATGAATTGTTAACAACTGTATAGACCCATGACACTCAAACATCCAAAGAGAATTTTCCTATTAAGCTAGGAATTTTATTAAATTTATATATATTTAATGAGAACAACTTTGAATATCAAATTACTTTATTACCCAAACTGAATAGATTATCCACTTAAGTTATGCATATTTAATTAATATATCACTTTAAAATTAACAGTTACTTGATTTTATTTATTACTTTATACATATTTTACTAATGAATGTCATGATAAAGTAGTGCCTTTTGTGGTACAGTAGCCAAAAATACTGTTTATCCAATGTAATGTGAAGTGATGCTACCCTGGATGAATGGAAACTTGGATAAAATGGACAGCCATAGCCATTTGAAATTAAAAATTACCAATATGAAAAATTTACATAGTACATTTTTTAAGTCTCTTTAAAAAGAGACTTTATACTTTAGTTAATTACAAGAACAACCTTTTTTATATCATTTATTATTCAGCTAATATGTATAAAAGTTTTACAAATAAAAAAACATTATTGTAGTTACATTTTAATATGAATGGTTTGTCTCAAGTTGAAGTTAAATGATAAAAATTAACTAAAGTTATTTTGTAATAAATATCATTTTAAACTTTTTTTAAAAGTCCTTTAGCAATTTTTGTTTTGTAGCAATTCCTCCCTTCCTTGCTACAATGTTCTGCAGCCATCTCAGCATCAATTTTTATGGGCATAATAGAGTGTATCCTGGATATGCCAAGATGTGTTCCTCACCACCTTGTTGAATGTGGGATTGACCAAATCTATGCAATAGGCATCCTCTCAGTGTCTACAGGTCAGAAAAATAAAAAAAAAGAAAAAAGGGGGGAGCACAATCACTCCTCAATACAATCAAGGTTGAAAGTATTAAAGTATTTATGCACTCTGTGCATTCATAGCAAAGCTTTTATGAATTATATATAAAACAAGAAATTTACTTATAGGTTCACCTTAGATAACAAATATGGAATCTCAGTTAATCAAGATTTTAGTATATTTATAAATTAACATCTAAGGCAAAGTTTAGCCTTGCATTAAAATTAACTTACCATTCGTATATAAGGATTGTCTCCTAGACATGTTTGACATAATATAGGAAATTCCTTTAAAAAATAAATAAAAATTAGTAGAATTACTTTTATATTAAACATAACCAGTGATGGTTTGAAATTGGTATGCTTTTTTTTTTTGGTTGTCACAATTTTCAAGATGGAACAAAGAGTCACAACCAAATTTTGTTATAAATGAGATAGAAGTGCCATAGAAATATTTCTGATGATGAAAATGATGCAAAATCGCATTTTTCAATTCAAGAGGACTTATCAATCATAAATTCATGCCTTCTGAGCAGACTGTGAATGGACTTTTCTATGCAGAAGTACTTGTATTTGCAGGGTTAGATCAAAAATATACAAATTGGGAGAATAGTTTCCTCACCATGGTAATGTTCTGGTAATTCATTGTTCATTGTTTCACAATTTCTTACTAGAATATTAGTCACAGTGATCAACCATCCATTTTACTTGCTTGATTTGGCTCCAGCCAACTTTNAGAGTTGATATTTGGCACAGAGTATTAGGTGCCCAAATCATTTGCGCATAAAAAAATCCAGACTCTTAGGTAGTCAGGGGACCAAGAATTGAGTCAAAATAAAGTACAAAGTGGCAACCCTCTTCTACAAACAGGCAAAACAGGCACTTCACCCCACTAAAGTCAGGTGGGGAAGAATACCACCCATAATCATTCTAAGAAGTGAACTCTGACCTTAGGACTGAACATGTAGTTTCTTCTATGTTAAATAAAATTTGTAATCTAATTTTGTAAATTTGGGAGTGCTTCAAATATGACGTTAAAACGGTTTTATGTCGTTACAAGTGGGTTTTTTTTAACATTATCTAGTATAGTAAAATCGTAGGACCGATAAACATTTGAAGTTATATTAGGGCTGTCGTTACATTCGATGACATTATAATCGGGTTAAACTGTATATTGTTTGTGCAAAATAAAAAAATAATTTCGGACGATACAACAACCATGACTATTTTTTTTTTCAAAAACGGGAACTTTTCGTTATGCATTGACAAAAATTCAACCCGGGCTGATACCCAATGGAGAGAAATTTTGAAATCAGATATGTTAATTTCATCAAAGATGCATCGTGGACGATCTCGTGGTTGTGGCCGAAGTTTAAATGATCACGCCCAAAAGCACAATATCAAAGAAGATAGGAGAATGAGAACGAGACCTACCTTGAGCATTAAAGTGATTCTGTCTCTGAGACATAGTCTTATCCCAAATATGGTTTTGCCATTTTACTTGTTTGAGATTTAGAACAAAATCTTTGTATTTAATTATGAATTTCAAATAACAGTAATTTGTTTTGTATTAAACATATTAAAATCATTAGATAATATGATACTTTGGTTTTCCTAAAATAGGCATTCATTTTAATAATAGACCAACTTTAGAAATAATTAATGAAGCGTTTTTTAGTGAATAATCCAGGATGCATGAAGATATGATAATATAGAGCTGACCTTATATGATAAAATTTCACATATATTACTATGTTACAAACTAAAGGTGAATTAAACAAACTTCATTAATGTGAATGTAATGACTACAGTAATATCATAGCATAGGAACAATTTTCTGTTGAGCAAAGATACAATTTAAATAAACCTTTAGTATCTTGCATGACCACCTCTTGCATAAATACATGCAGTGTTACAATTCAGCATAGAAGATACAGGTACCATATTCTATCTTATGATAATTTGTCCACAGATGTTACTACTGTCTCTTCAGATCCCTCACACTTATAAATAACTAAAGCTGACATCCATCTGGTCCCACAAATACTTGAAGGGCAACAATTCTGGAGACAGGGCAAACTAAAAAAGTGTGGCAACATGATGGAGACATTTCTGGAAAATCCTAACTGTGACTTGTTGGAAAATGGCTGTTTGAAGACCTGCCATAAAAGCAACACAAGATTGCAGGATTTCCTGAATGTATCGCTGTACTATCAATGTCTCCACTACTAGAGGTGATTTACCATCATGAGACAGTTTCCAGACCATTATGCCAGGTAAAAGAGCATTGTGCTCTCAACACAGGACTGAAGTGATCCAGTGGTCATTTGTTCCCAAATAGAATCATGATTTATAGCTAAAGATAATACCTGCCAGTCCATAGCAATCCATGTTGCTGTCATGACACCATTGCAAATGAAACCAAAGATGTTGAGCTATTGCTATTTTTTATTACATCTTTCCTCTTTTACTTAAATTTCATTATACCCAAAATAATGATACTCTTCACAGATGGTGGCAATATGAAGAAGAAAACCATAATTATCAGCCCATCTATAACGCCACTGCCATGCTAAAAATCTTCAAAATTTGTTTATACAACTTCCTCTACGATCTTATTACCTCTAATCTGTATCTTGTTCAACACTTTGGTGTCCATATTTCTCCGCTGCAACTAACTTGCTGCACATAGAATACAAAATAATTAAACTTCAAAAATAAATAATCACCTATATTATATATTTGGATTAAAAAAAAAACTCAATTCTGTTATCCCGGTTTTCTACTATATAAACTAAGTAATAAATTTAATATTTATGGTCTGTACATCAAATGGCTTAACATTACTTTTTGTAGCAATCATATTATCTGATTATAATTTTTAGAATTTTTTCTCCCTTAACTGGTGTTCAGCAAGGGTCAACTCTCGACCATCTTTTCTTTATAACATACATAAATAGTTCCTTAAACCTCAATTCAAAAACCTTAATATAAACAATATCAAACTTATCAATAGTAATCTATGATAAATGTTATAATTTAAACACAACTACTTAAATTTTATTCACTTTTATATACATTGAACAATATAGAAACAAGTATATTGTTATGTATGTATAAGAGTTGAATGAAAAGTTCAAGCTTAACCAAGGAGGAGTGATGCAAGTGAATATAAAACTGGCACAATCTGTACCTGGACTTGTCATGGAACATCTCTATAATTTTCACCATTTTACTCATACTTATTAGCAGATACTATCATCAGAGGAAACTAGTAAGCAAAATAGAAAGAAGTTTAGAATTTGCAATAGAAGTTTGGTGTATTGTACTATCATCTAATATTTCTTCAAAAAAGGAATATTGATGAAAGACAACCACACCAATATGCAAGAATATACAAGGAGTGTCTAATATTAAAGATACAGGCCAAAATTACACTAACATTTGCAATTAAAGAAAATATTTAATACATTCCACAAAAAACTACATACTTTCACTTATTTCTTGACATAATCTCCATAAACATTGAGACATTTATCCCAGCTTGACATTAGTTTGAACATCTCTTCATGGTACTGTTGCTTGTCAAGTTACTTGAAGAAGTCCAGAATGATGTCTTGCAATTCCTCCTGATCTGCAAAGCATTTCCCCACCAAAAATTTCTTTAAAGGTCTGAATAAATGAAAATCTGAGGGGGGCTAAATCTGGACTATACAGAGGATTTTGCAGGACCTCCCAATTCTGCTGTGCCAACCACAGTTTGGTTTGATTTGATGTGTGGTCTTGTGCCATCATGCAAAAGTTTAACTCCATCGTGTAATTGTTCTGACCTTTTTCTTCTAATGGCTGTATGCAATTTCTGGAAGTCTTACAGTATCTGTCACTGTTAATGGTTGTGCACGGTTCGAAGAATTCACACAGCAGTAGGCCTTCACTATCCCAGAATATGGTAGCCATAATTTTGCAAGCAGATGGCTGAGTTTTGAATTTTTTTTTTACTGGGAAAGCTGGAAGTTTCCATATCATCCAGCTTCCCCAGTAAAAAAAAAAGGATTGTTGTTTTGTCTCTGGGGTAAACTCATAAACCCAAGTTTCATCTCCGGTAATGATGCTTTCAGCAAAAAAATTCCTTTCTTGGTGGTATCGGGTGAGATGTTGAAGAGAAGAATTCATTCCATATGTTTTTTTGTTCATTGGAGAGCATTTTCGACACCCAGTGAGCCAAAACTTTGTGGAAGTTTAGGTCACATATGATTTCATGCACACAACTGTTAGGAATGCCAGCCATTGCAGTAATTTCACAAACTTTAATGCGACAATCTTCCCTAATCAAACATTTGACAACTATCATCAGTGTGTGAGGTCCTTGGTCTGCCTCTATTGTTCTCCCAATTATCATTCAGCTCCATTTGTCCATCTTTAAATTTTTGGCATCAAACGCCGACTTCTTTTCAGCTTAAAATGTTTGGGCCATAAATGCCCTGTAATCTGCGATAAACTTCGCTCTGATTAACTCCTTCATATTGCAAAAATCTGATAACTCCAAGTACTTCATACTTCAAATACTCTGTGATTACACATGCCATGTTTATTTGCTTCCTGACTCTGAGTTATCCAATTTAGATCCCATTGTTCAATAACACTAATATTAGTTTAGTACAGAAAATTCAAAAGTCTTTTTCATAAAAATTCCTAAAAAACTATTCTAGGAGAGCAATTCTATGTACTGTAAGCTACAACTTCTAGATATTAAAAAAAACCTCTCTCATTTTTTCTAGCAAATTTTAATTAAATGAACTAATGTTTTCATCTATTTTTCAGGACATTTGAAATTATGCTAAACTGAGGAAGGCTATTCAAAATGGCTGGAAATGTTAGTTCATTTAATTAAAATTTGCTAGAAAAAAGTGAGAAAGGTGTTTTTGAATATTTTCTAGAAGAGTTCATAATTATAAAGGCTTTTTCTGTTTCTACATATTGTGATATTTATTCATGATATATCTAAAACATCAGAAATTCAACATTCCTTGAAAAGTATTGCACAACTTTTTCTGGGATTTTCATCCAAGTACTTTTGATATTATTGTAACAGGCTAATGAGATTGAGCTATGTTTACTTCTTAAATATTTGATAATACAAACATTGGTCTAATAAAATCATTAAAATGATACAATGGAATTACAGTAACTACTAGTAACAAATATGATACTAAAGGTCACCATTATTATGATGTAATTTGAATCCAAGATACACCATATTTTCAGAAATATTGAAAAAAAATATAACTTATATTTTTTAAATATCATAACTTGAAAATCTATTAACAACATGTAATTCAACCATATTATTTGTATACTATTGCATTTAATAATACTAGCACATAATTGAAATAAAAAAATTCCAGTAATTTAATCTTCAAACATCTCTAAGATCAATAATTATATTAAAACTAAATGATTGCCAGATTACATTGGGATATATAAGAAATATAGCCCAATGAAATCTGACAATCATTTGGCTTCAATTTAAACTACTATACTGCAAGCAAATAATTAAAATAAATATTTAAAGTACTGGAGAGGACTGACAATGATTATATATTATATTTTGTCTGATAGCTTATATCTTGGTCAACAAACTGAAACTAAGACCAGTTTTGGTATTGGTACACTTTAGGATGAACTTGTCTTTCTATGGCTGTCACAACCCTTTTCTGGTCTACCCAGAATCTTATAACCCTGATCTGAAACCAAAATGTCTAATGTCTGATTTTTTATGAAGCTTACAAAATACCTTTACTTTTTGCAGATTCTCTTTTTGTTTATCTCCAATAATTGTGATAATTCTGAAAAAATAACTATGTATTTAATATCAGTTAAGAGCATTTAATTTTGTATTATAATTTAAACATTCATTTGCAACACAAATCCAAGAATGCATTAAAATTTGTGCACTGTTTTCTCAGTATAATAGTTTATATAAACAATAACAGTTTTAAAGCTTAAATCACTTTCTTAATTTCTTTACTTGGTAAACTTTTCAGTATTTATTTAATTTACACAATTTTCTTCCTATCTGTACAACTGGAAATACCTGGAATGCATCAGTTATAAACTTCTTTGTCATTAAATGACAGTATCTGTTTAATTAGCATCAAGGAAAACATTGAATAGTGATAAAAAACCGAAAATAAATTTATGGCAGTGATCATTAGTTTAATTGTAATTTTTCTTTAAATTATGTTACTAAATACAGTAGTATCTCTGTTTTTGTTGGCTTTGATTACAGTCGACCCCCCTATAATTACGATTCCTATAAAACTACGAAAAAATATACGTATTTTGGAAATGTTGAGTCGGATTAGTGTAGAATCGATTAATTTTATGGAAGAAAACCTTTCAATCAGCCGTAGTCCGTAAATTTGACACGTGTCGGGCTGTGATTGGAACGACTTGTAAGAAATCGGATTCCTAATAAATTGGAACGTATCTATATCTTATAGGGGGGTCGACTGTATTATAAATTTTTTCATAAAAAAATTTATCTCGGTTTTCATTTGTGTGCCCACAAGACCTCGCTGCTAATTTTGCAGAAACAAAAAGAAACCCACGCATTTTCCTGCTTGGTGTGGCATAGTTTCTTGTCGTGTGAGCATTATCCCGCACATCTAGCCGAACAATTCCACTGCCTTCCTTTCCTTTTAGCTCCATCATGGGACCAAAGAAAGTTTCCAGGGCCAGCAGCCCTTTGAATGTCATGTTAAATAATCAGTTATTCATCACATTAATCTTTTATATTCATTTTATATTAATTTTTTATTGTTTTTAGTATTAAACACTATATTTATTCTCTATAAAATGTGTTTTTGGTATGTATTTTGGAGTTTCTAGAACAAATTAATTGGATTTACATTGATTCATATGGAAATAACTGCCTCAGTTTTCATCAGTTTCGGATTGCGCCAATTGTTTTTGGATGGATATGTCAACAAGCTTTGTTAGAAATAAAACTTATTTATAACCCAAGAATTTACTTACTCTACTTTTTTCTTATAATTTTTTTCAATAATTATCAAAATTAATAAGTTAAGTTACACCATTTTAATTTTTACACATTTTGCTCAATTATTCAATCTTATCGCTGTGTTATCCATTACACTTGAAACCTTTATATGTAGTTTATAATGAAGTTTCTTAACTGAAACAGTTAATTAATTTTAAGATTTTGAGAAGCATGATCAGAAATGAATAAGATTAAATATGTGGTTCCTCTCATCTGAGGAAATGAGGCAAAAATTAAACTCAGATATGCTAAATATATTTAATTATCAAAGAGAAAAATAAAAGAAAAAAATACCTCAAAAATTCAACATTTGTTCATAAATTAATATGTATAAATGTCATGTAATTCTTCCAGTTTTAATTTCTACGTATATATTATTTAACTTTATTTTTTATATGTGAAATTTAAATTTTTTAAACAATGAATTACATTTCAGTTGAAGTTTTGACATCAAACAAAAGTCTGATCATTAAACATTGTTTTCTTCTTCAAATTTTTCTACACGTTTTAAAATTTGTTGCGGATTTCCTAAAACGATTAACGGAGTAATAATATAAAGCTAATAATAATTAATATTTACCGATTCTTCCCAATTCAATCTATTATAAGTATTTGCACTTTTCGAGGTCGCCATTTTGAAGAAACGACTTCTATGAACGGATCGCTACACAATTATATCTATTTATAGCCAAATTTTAATCGATCGGCAAGTAGAAAAGTTTTAACGAGAATTTTATTTTTAAACGTAATAAATTATTATTTTAAAGTAAAAAAAATAAAATATTAGTTTTTTTATTAAATTAAAACAGTTTATTTATATTTTATCATGAGAATATTAATTAAATTTAAAAACCATTTTAAAACTATGAAATTATTTTTTTGTTTAGAACAGTTAGGCAGTTATTAATAATAAAATGGTCGTGTTTAATTTGTGCTTATACTCGTTTAATAAACTGAAGTGGCCAAAGCGGTTAACTGTCTGCCTACCGCTCTGAGAAACCCGGGATGAATTTATGAGAATTCATTCCCTGAATTAGCAAGACCATTCCCGATCTGAGAGACGCGGAAATAGTCTTGCTAAAATAAGACCAATATGTGTTTGGCCAGTGTCACAATGGGACGGCCGGGTGGTGAGGGACGGGGCCCGAAATATCCCGACGGACCATCCCCGAAAAATTCCTGGGGATTTTTCGACCCGTCCAGATTCGATTCCGGGTTTCCCAGAGCGGTGGGCTGCCACCTTGACCACTCGGCAATCAGGCTGTCAACATGTGGCGGATAAAAGGGGAGAGCTACGAACGTTTAAGTCTTCTCTATTCGTACAGTACATACACAAACACGCAAATTAAAATTCAATTGTTCGTTTCTTCGAACTTCAAATCGTTGTTTTTAAAAACCTTCATGATGACAAATGGTTTATCGAACCATCCGCAATACAATCGTCGCGCACATGTCCTTGTTAGTTATTCAAATATTTATAATTTTTGAGTTAGCCTTTTCCTTTAGTACTCTATATTTTTTATTTATTTTTGACTTTTTCCACTTATGAGTACTACGAGGGCATGAAAAAAGGTGCCTGTGAGCAACTTGTTTATACAAAGGGCAGGCTGATGTTTACCATTTCGGCAATCAACCTGCTAGGAAATATTTAGGAATCTTGGAATAGATTATGATTTTTTCTTTACGAAATCTGTCTGTAGCAAGTTATTCCCTTTCTTACATTTTGATAAATTTGTATTTTACACTACGTTCAATATCATAATTGGAATCAAAAAATAATGTTTAGATAAAATTTGCATTAAAAGAGTTTAAAAATCTGATTTAAAAAATTTACACTCCTTTTACACAATTTAAAAAATTCTGAAATTATAATCCTAAGACCGAGACTTTACAACATAAAAAACTAGCGTAAAGCACTCGTTGTAATTATTTTTTATCATGTGACCATGATGTTTTTCGCCGGAGCAGGATGTAAAACGATACCATCAAGTAAATAGAAGTCAGTGGACTTCTGTGCCAATCTATGGCCGAGCGATCTATATACATAACCCATTGAAGGGGTATCCGTCTGTCCACGTAACGGTATGCCAAAAACGGGCACTAGAGGCGTCCTAGCGAAGATTTTAAATTAACAATAAATTATTTTTATTTGTAATAGGAATTTATTATTGATATGAATTTATTATTTATACCACGGAATGGTATAAATAATTATTATATGCCTTGATTAACCTTGCGCCGCACGTTTACAACATCCCATGACTCGGTGAACGTCGCGCATTGACTCACGGGAAATTTCTTGAAAAAATTGTGGATGCATTTAAAATTGAGATTTACAAGCGAAGGTAAATAAACAAATTAAACTATTTTAAAGTATTTATAGAATGTTTAATAGGTAGAAATATAGATCCGTATGACGCGATTGGGACGGTAAAGGCCATACACGTTAAGTTAATCCTATGAGGCTGCCTGACCTTGAGGAACTTCAGAATTTCCTATCGCCCACACACGAAGAAGAAAATCTCTCAGCAGAGGCGTAGCTAGAGTGAGGCAAGTAGGGCACGTGCCCCGGGCGCCAAATGGTCTCCAAGACAAACAAGATTTGTTTCTGGAAGAGGAGGGGCGCCAATATAGTGTCGTGCCCCTGGCGCCAGTTATGTTCGCTACGCCATTGTCTCTCAGTCAGTCGGCCATGGCATCTGATGACGACATACTGGTTGTTCTTGGATGTTTATTGGCAACGAATTCTATTAAAACTCGCGGGAAAAAAGTATGCATAGAAGTCTATGGTGTAAATAGTAATAGTGGTTTGGATAGCACTGATCACAAAATTAATTTTTCAACAGAAATCTTGGGCTATAGATTCTGTTAAAAACAGGGCTGTGGAGTCGGAGTCGTGGAGTTTTGATGTTTTAGCCGGAGTCGGAGTCGGAGTCGTCAAAAAATCCGCCGACTCCGACTCCTTTTTACTTACCAACTTGTTATGTATATAAAACGGAAAAGTATTGGAATCGTGTCAAATTTGACTCTCCAAGTTTTTTTTTCAAATCTACACGTTTGGAGACCTCCCGAACCCCTCAAAAAAGTCAATAAAGGGGAAAAATTCGCGCACGCGTGTGTGTTGGCGTCTAATTTAATTTCTTTATTTTCTGTTCTGAAATATTAAACAATATCTCAGAACGGGTAAAGTTTAAGAAACGAAATGTGGCACTGCAACTTGCGTATAAAGGGGCATTAATACTATTAAATTTTGGTTCTTAATTAAAGGTCGACAGGGTGAAGACATAAAAGTGGTCGTGTGTCATATATCTTAATGAATATTTTACTCGTTATTAGCGTTCAAAATTAAAAAAAATAAAATAAAACTCGTCTTTACCCTCAAAGTAAGTGTGGGGGCCGAGGGAGGAGAAATAAAAAGAATTCGCTGAACGATAATAGGCGATATATATCGTCATCGTCTCCCTTGCCGTTTGAATTGCCGAGCGGTAACAATCAACGACATGTGGAAGCAGTTGAGTCAGAGATAGATGCTTCGTTTACAAACAATACAACCGTTTATTAAACACGAAAGAAGCTTACAAGATTTCCGCGATCTTGGAAGTTCTGCGGCGGCTGCGGCCTCTGGGTCTTCCTCTCCTTTCCAAGATAGTCCCCTTTTGAAGGAGTGTCCCTTGTTCGCGAATGAACCGTTCCATCACGTCTCGACCACTCCGGGACGATGCGGTCGACTTCCGTTGATGGAAAGATGTCGATCCGAGGTAGGGAGATGGAGACGAAGATGGGTGCGAGACACACACACAACAATAGATCCGCCACTTGGAACTTTCGGGAGAAGAAGCCGTCGCGTCCTTGAATTTCCGGGGTTTTATCCGTTTTCTCTCAGATTCCCCTTTCCGATTGGTCTCTCCTCGTCACCTGATGACAATTCGAAACCTTTCGGGGGCGCGGGAGAGGTCAAAATCGAAGTTTAATTCGATCTCCAACCGGAAATGGTCGACGGACTTACATTCTTCTATTGTTTAAAAGTTAGCGTCGCGTTTTCATAAAATAAAAATCTATTTCTAACTACTATATATTTTTTCTTTAAAACAATTATTTTAACGCAAATTTTAGTGAGGGTTCGGACCTGTCCAGAGCCTCACATTTGCTTTTTTGCCATTTTATAATAGTACAGTAAAACCCGTTAAGATGTTCTCGCTTAAGATGTTAGAATGTATATGGGGACACGATTTAGTTCAACCACTTTGACTTAAATAACTATCTCTTGTGTTAAACCATCCGACTCCGATTCTGACCACTCTGACCACAGAAATTATTAGGTTTCAAACAGGGTGAACGAAATCATGCCCCCCGGCCCCACACACAGTCTAACATCCAGACATATAGAAAAAACCTCGAATCTTTTGCATATGTCGAAATTTCAAGGTGTCCCGAGTCCAAAAATGTAAAAATTTGGGAGGGGTCATTTTTTGACCGAGCGCTACACTTTTCCTCTGTTATATATAACAGCCGGAAAAGTAAAAATTATCGAATACATATTTATATATTACTTAGAGAAGTCTTTTAGCTTTGGAATAAAAAGTTTCTACGCTCTATCTTTATTACAACTCTATTTATTGAATATTTTATTCTGATGTCACGTGATGACATCAGAATTTCCGGGTCTCTTTCGGTAACAAGTCTGCCCCTAGTCGGAGTCGGAGTCGGATGGTAAGGAAAAGTCGGAGTCGGAGTCGGAGTCGGTAGATTTTTACGCGACTCCACAGCCCTGGTTAAAAAGCATCAATTATCAGCGAAAGATCAATGGCAAGTCGATTTTACTACCAAAATTCATGGATTAAATTTTATAGACGAATATATATTAATAATTCTCAACCACATCCGATATTAGTACAAATTGTAAACATTATTATCGCAAATTAATTTTATAATTTAATAATTAAAAAGAATTTATTAAACTTTGTCTTATTTTAAGTTGTCATGTTTTAATTTACTTGGATATTAAAACAATAAATTTTTTAAAATGTAAAAGAAAATGATATAGAGTATCAAGATGTTTTATGAAAACGGAAGAAATGAATTGAGAAGTTTTCTAAATATTAAAATTATTTATAATTTTAATTTACTCAAGAAATTTTTGATCTGAAAATAATTTATAACCTGAAAAAATAATTTTTTAGGTTATAAATAATAAAAGTTAATAAGGTTATAGAAAATAATTCTTCCATGTATTCACGAGACATTGTTCTCACAACTGAACGACATGACAGCATACACGTTAAGGTCAGCCTGTGCAGTCTGACACTGTGCAGGAAAATCAAATGGTTTTTCGATTCTACTCCGGTGGTCGGTACAGTCCGCCAAAACTGTTAAATTTCCCCCCACACACACTACTAGGAATTACTCAAGGTCAGGCATGTATGGTTAATCCTTTGAAGATTAACTTAATGTGTATGGCCGCGTTTAGATAGATGAAAACAGAGAACATATGTGGAAAGTTTAGGGCAGGAGGCCCAGATTAACCATACGAACTTCCTGTTTGGAAAAGGTATTCACGTTATTTCAATTCAAAAATTTTCTTCTGAAAGGAGTTAGATATAGGAAAAATATAGTGTACAGGGGCAAGACACTACTAATTTGAGATGAATAGCATACATTTTAAATTAAATAAATTTAAAAAATGATTAAAAATTTTTGTACGGCTAGTGACGATGTCACAATAAATAATTACTGCTCACATTACTAATCACAACGCTGTTTAAAATTTTTTATTTAAATTATTTTAAAATGTTAAACCTAATATTCCTACATATCACAATTCTCTATTATATCCCTAAATTCTTATTAAATTATAAACCGCGTCAATTCTATAAACGTGTTACTCAAAAGCTGTATTCTAAAAGTCTGTCATGCTACCTTAAATAATATTGTTTTATTTATAATATAGAATATATAGAACAGAATTAAATCCAAGACTGGTGTATGAATTATTATAAAACATCTGACTTTATTTTAATCCAAATTACAGTATCACATTTTAATTGATTTTAGTTTTCATTTGTATTTAAAAGTAAGAACGTTTCCTTCGAGCCATTTTGTAGAATACACTTTTAGCTTTAGGATTTGTAGCTACTTTATTTAAGTAATCAAGAGCTTGAATTATCATATCTCTATTAGGATCATAATACCGGGCAGACGAATAAGTTTGCATTTCGGAACTAAACGATTGACTTTTTTCTACGAGAGAGAGAGTAAAAAAAGAAAAAGTAAATAATACATTAACTTTGAGACAATAAAACGAAGAAAAAATTAAGAGACTTACCAAAAAAATTAATTACGGATACCAGAAAAACAGCAATGACCAAAAAGAGTGTGGTGTACATGATTAAACGTATTTGTATAATGCTCCATAAATTCAATTCTAGACTCTTGTGCGGCTGTTTAAATACGATTAAAATAATTTATTTATAAATATGAGACTACGTAATGCTTTTAGGCGAATTAAATTTCATAATTTAAACTTAATAATTTTACGAAGGATATATTTATAAGATTAAGCAGTGAATTTCTTTGAGAAATAAAATAAAAATAGCTTAATTTTTTAATTTTAATATAGAAATGTAGAAGATTTAATCCTTTCCGCGGTGGGGCACTTATGTTTTTACTCTTATTGTCCTGTTGACACTAAGAAGATCTTTTAATCAGACCCATCATGGATTCGGCGAAGTTCACAAAATGAAGTTGCTGAATGTTAATGGACGAGATCCGAATATTTGTGACAAACCCCTCACGAAAATTCCTGGGTTTTTCGACTCGTCAGGATTCGTTTCTGGGTCCTCCAGAGAGCGCTCGGCTGACGTCTTAATTCAGTGGTTTTCAACTGAGGTGCCGCAACATCACTTCAAGAGTGCCGCGAAATAATAGGCCCACTGAACAGCGCTGTAACACTTCTTACGTGTAAGTTGTGATTATAAGTACGAAAAAAGCAATAATTCTACATTGATAAAGGAATAGAGATGCCGCAAGAAAAATTAATTAAATTGATGGTGCCACTATTAGAAAAAGATTGGAAAACACTGTCTTAACCACTGGATCATCCGGCCGTCGCCTTATGAGAACTAACTGTAAGAGCAGAGTCGTCGAGAAGAGTAGAGCTGAGAATTTTTTCCTGGTTCTTAGTGGTTCTTATTTTTATAAATTAATTTTATCTCTATTAACAAAAAATAAAATCTTTAAGACTGATTTTTAAAGAAACATTATAAGTATTTTATTTCGTCAAAAAAAGCAAAATAATTGGTTTGATTGATTTGATAGGACACGGCAATGTAACACATAGCCGATCATCCAAGTAGGACCGCTCTCGTGAGGACTTTCTGTGAGAAGCTGTCTCCTATTTAAGTGTTAGAGTTCTTCTCTTAACACCACTCCCCGCCGCTGAGGACGAGATTTGCATCCTGTCAAAACAGTGTTTAGCTCTTGATGAAAAAATAATTGCTCGATCCGTAAGAGATGTAGTGTACGCTGAACAGAAAACATTACAAGTAAGCAATTAGTCAAAATTAGTGAATATTCAGATACAATGCAAAGTTAAGTTAAAAATATTTTAACAGGATTAATTTAATTAAGCGATGGATATTTACATTTTTAATTAATACTACTTTTAATACTTATTCTTAATTAACATAAACTTTCAAAACAGCCCAAATACTTAAAAATTTGACAAGTTGTGCCATATTATGTCAAAAAATTCCTCGTATTATATAATTTAATTAGGAAATATCAGATTCAATTATAAATTAGGTCCAATGTAGAATCTTCCAAAGCTGTACAAACAGCGTAGATGTTTCGCAAGTCTCATAATTAATGCAGTTTTCAAGTTTTTTGAGAATCTTTTCTAAACATAATTCACCAATAATATTTAATTCTCATGAATTTCGCATTTAGAGAAGAAAATGAGTTACAATTATTCGTACTTTATTGAATACTAACGATATGAATTTCTGGCTAACAGTTTGCACAGTTTTTATCCTGATGATTATTTGGTATTCTAATTGTGGTAAGTCCAATTTATTTTTAAATTAATGTTCAAAGAATAGTAAATTATTACTTAACAGGAAAAATTACGAAAAGAAGTATAGAAAATCAAAGCAAGAATGAGCTAGATCACAGAGTTAGGAGAGTGAAAAGAAGACAAAGTGGAGGTTCCAGTGGAGGTTGCAGATCAGATAGCTCTCGTGGATCTTCGCAAACCATCGCTTTATTAGCTATACCCGTTCAACTTGTTGCAGTTAGAATACCTGTTCAAAGTACAGGAAGTGGAGGAAGTAGCGGTTGTGGAAATAAGCCGTCAACTGGAAGCTGCAGTTCCAGTTGTAATCGTTGCAAGCCTAGTTGCAATTGTAGATAAAATAAAAACTGCCTTACTGTAAGAAAATAATTTTTATAATTACACCTATAGTCTATATTGTATGTCTTTTGTTTGACATCTATTAAGTATTTGTTCTATCTCGACATTAGAATTAATTGTTTGATTTATCATGTTCTGCTCTCTTTATGTCTCAATACACTCGGTACTCTTAAAAATTAACTTTTTAGATAAGTAATTCATATTAATGAATTGATGAAGCCATTAGAAGTGAATATAACCTTAAATTTTTAAATACAAACTCTGTATATTATTTCAAATTAGTTATTTAATTAATTTAATAAATAATTTTAGATTTATTAAGTATCTAAATTCATTTAGAACCTGAAACTCTAAGATATCATTGTAGCTTTCTAATGTGTAAATTTACATTATATACAAAATATTTTTTAATTTTTTAAAATAAATTTACAAAATATATAAAGATATTATTGTTATTATAAATCAATGATAAAAGTTGTTAATTATTACAAGAAACCCAGTTTAAAAACAGGAATATTTTACTGTAAAACGGTATAAATTTGGACTGTGCATAATAATAGATAATATTCAATATATTATCTATCCGTTCAACTTGTTGCACTTAGAATACAAATGGAGGGAATGATGGAGGATGTAGGGATTATGGAAACATACCAAAGAGTATTATGTGGAAACAAGTCGAAGCATTTCATGTGTAAACAAGAGAAAACAAAAAAGTTACATACATTTACAACTTTTATTAAATGTGTTTACAATTATTTTGTAAATTTATAGAGTATGAAATTTAAATTTTCGGAATGGTAGTAATTAATAAACAAATTATTTTCAAATAGAAAATGAATATTTCGTCAGTTTAATTGAAATTTATATTTAATGTTTAAACATAGTTATATTTATATTTAAACAATTAATATTTGATGAATGTAAGAAACATTTTATCAGTGGCGGATTCAGAAGTATTCAAACGGTAACTCAAAAATTAAAAATATTTGAATAATAAATGACTTTTTATTAACACATACACGACGATTGTACTTCCGATAAACCATATTTTCCATCGTAAATGTTTTTAAAAACAAGTTTCAACAAATAAATTTTAATTGTTTTTGTTGAATGAGGAGGGCTTAATTAAGCCCGTGTAACCCCCCTCCCTTGTAATCGCCACTGAGTTATAGAGAACTATTTTGCACGAACAATAAAATAATTCATAACTGACTTCATTTTAACATTTAATTCGTTTATATTTCCATTTGCATTATTGTTATTGCATTAATTAATTCTAGTGATGTGAAACCTCAGAGGTCTACTTGAATGTTGCTTACTGCTGCTTGATGTAATTTTTATCTGTCTAGGAGTCTGGCTGCTTGACCTCGAATAAGTTTTGCTAATTTTATGAAGCAAAGTGATCATATTGGGGTTTCCTCGGATTTTCATCAGACCATTTCCCAATCTAATTAAATCTTCATTTTTCAATTTTCTTTTTCTGTAACCTATAGAATCATAACCTGAAATAAAAATTAATGTAAAATAAGGAAGACGAATGCAGTTTAAAAAGGAATTATGAACGAGTTGTTCGAATTAAACCATCGAAAATTTTGTTGAATATAATAAACTACATTTTAAGTAATATTTAATAAGTGATAAAGTTAGGAACTGGAAATAGATGCGATTTAAAAAAAAAACCAACAAATTATTATTGCTAGGATTGGTTTAGTGGAATACGATAACTCAACATATGGGAGATCTGCCAAGGCAAAAAGGATACTTCAGAGGAAATTGGAAGAATACTTTTTATGGGAAATTGGTCCCGATTTAGGTGCTAGAAATGCGAAGAAATTCGAAAAACTGAGGCACGAACCCATGACTAATTACAAGTGGTAAGTAGTTTTATCTACTCTGCCACAGGTGGGCATCATCGTTAGAAAATTAATAATATAAGTTGAACAAACTGCTAAAACGACAGGTAATTTTGTTATTTCTAAGCCATTCCTTAAAAATATAGCAATTTTTTTGTTATTCTATTGTTAATTTATGAATTCCCGTTTTTTAAACAATAAAATACACAGAATTACACTCTATTTGAAAATTTATAAATTTAATACTACGAAAATACCGACCGGATGACCGAGATGGTTAAGGCGTCAGACTATTTCTTTGGAAGACCCATAAACTAATCCTGGCGGTCGAAAATCCCAGGAATTTTTCGGGGGTGGTCCGTCCCGGATATGTCGGGCCGCTCCCCCCACCACCAGGCCGCTCTTATAATGGGCATGGCAAAACCCGTAATTGGTATGATTAAAAACACTCTTAAATGCTCGCATGAGTGGAGCATTTAAGAGGAAAAATAGGGCGAAGTGGAAAAATAAAAAATAAATAAATAAATACTATGAAAATCGAAAACCTACAAAACTACACAAAAATAAGTACTAAAATCTCTAGCAAATAGAATTTATTCTAGAGAATCGAATGTTATTTCTTAATTCTAATCCTTTAATTATCATGCATAAGTCATACTTACCACAGGATACGATTATTACCAAAAATAAAATGGCGATGGCATTGTGTAGAGAATTCATGTCTGAAATGAAAGTTCATATGATCAAAATAACTATAATCCATATTAATGTCGACTACTGATTAAACAAATGTACGGGTGGTTGCATTAGACGTCTCGTTTAGTATTCTGCTGTTTTTATTCGTTTGTTTTGTTTCCGATAGACACAGAAAAAAGAAATGATTGTAACTTCTCACAAGTCCGAATAAAATTTATTTCAAAGGAACACAAGAGACTAATATTTAGAAATGATTATGAACAATATCAATGAACAATTATGCAAGCAAAGTGTAAACAAAAATCGTAATTATTTCATCAAGAGAAGCGTAGGCCTAACTTCCTATTTATTAGAGCTGACTATTATATTAATTGCTTCCTTAAATGTTTAATTATTTATCATTATCACGGAAATTAAGACATTACTTATATCTCAGAATTTGTTTATAAGGTGGTCCGAAAATCAGTTAACCGTGATTTATTCACTTAACAGAACTGTATAGAAAATCACTTGTTCCAAATCCGTTTTTATCATATTTAAAAAGTTTTAAAAAGTATCTTTGGTTTAACTGATTTTTGGATAACCAATAGTTTTTATGACCCGTTAAATATGATTATGATACGTAATGCAAATCATTAATGATTTTTGTCAGTCAGAATATTTTCACATTTGATCTCCTAGATATTGAACTTGAAAGTAAAGTTGAGATAGCTGTCCTAGTTGTACTTAGCCATGTGAAAAGGGAAGTTATAAAGGGATGAGTGAGGGGTAGAGTGGGGAATGGGAGGTAATGGGATAGAAGAGGGGAAAAAGAGGTAGAAAGTGGAGGTAGAGTTTGGGATCACAATCCTGATTAGCATCGCACTTACAAAAGAAAACAGTAATTGGTGCAAACAACTTACAGATTGCCTTTCCGGCTAGACGGTTACAATAGTAAATACAAAACAATGTGTACATGGCAGTGGCTTGTCGCCACTGGTAATCCCGACCGAAAAATACTACACTAAAACACAGGTGTTACACAGATAGAATGTTACATAAAGGACAATGTTATGTTAACACAAGACCTTGGTGACAAGACTGCTGATCGGAGCAAAGCACAGAGGGTCACAGATGCAGATTTCCTAGATCAGGGCCCAAAGAGTCACTGATAATCCGCCATCCCATATAACCCTTTCCTATCGGCATCTCCTTACCTGGCGACGGTAAATTATCCTTTATGATTTCTTATTCAAATTATTTCCTAAATAATTCAAGTAATTACACATTTCTCGACGGCCCTTATCTGGCTCCCGGAAAACATGGTCCGCTCGCCATCTCTAGTTTCACTCCGACTGAAGTAATACGTCGATATAGCGAAACATGAAAATTTATTTATGTTTTGCTATATAATATTTGCAATCTATCTATCTATATAATACTAAAAATCTGAGACTGTTTACTTGATTGTAATTAAAATAGAAAAAAAATGGTGCAAAATACTGCCACATTGTAAAGAATCCTATACCCTAAATGAGATTAGAAATAAAATAAAACAAGTTTCACTAAAATCGGGCGAAGAATTAACGAGTTCTCGCCGGTTTTTTCCGCTTATGACGTTATTCTGTAGGACTTCTGTGCAAACCGAAAGTTCATATATTAATCGGGGCGTCCTTCCCCTAAGCTTTCCATATTTCATCTCGATTTTCATCTGCCTAACGCCGTTCTCGAGAATAAACGACAAACAATGGGAGTTTATAAATCTACAATTTTTTGAAATTGCAGCCCAATATTTTAAAATTTGATAGTCGGATGTCTAAAGTTACGAGTAAATGAAAATATAAAGATAAACGTGTAAAACATGTATAAAAATAAAAATAATAATATACTAACAAATAATAGGGGAGACCGGGGCAACTTCGGCATGCGGAGCAAGTTTGTCAAGCGCTTTTTTTTAAAAACAAATTAAAAGGAGACTTTGGTTATAAGTTAGGCAGTTGAGTTTTATTGGTGGCTTGTTGAGTGTAGTGTTTTTATTATTCTCCAACAAGCGTAGTTGAATTATCAAGCAAATTTTCATTTTCGTTGAATTCCATATAATATTTTGCTTCCATTTATATTGAATTGGCAGGTTTTGTTATAATTCCATGATAACGAAAGTTACTTTTCCTGTTAGAAGGATGTAACTTCAACTTATTCACGTGGCCAGATCGTGGCTTGGCATTCTGTTCTCAGGGTTGTACTTAATGTTTCGAAATCATGACTAGCGGGGTAAGATCGGCAACATAAAGCCACATTAGAAGCAAAGGATAAAAATCAAACAGATGATAAATGAAAACATGTTTGCATTTGTTATTCATGTATATATGTCTTTGAACTTGCATTTCGTTGTAATAATATTAAATGGGTGTTGGATTTGTATTTCTTTGTTTCAATAGTGAATTCCAACTTATACATTGTTAATAACATAATTTTATATACGTGCCTATCTTGCCCCATTACTGTTGCCCCTATACCAGGGGCAACTTTAATAAAAATAATTAAAATAATTACAACTTTACAAAAAGAGAGAAGTTGCCGATCTTGCCCCTATACCCGGGGCAACTTCGTCAATTTCTCTCTTCTTGTAAAGTTGTAATTATTTTAATTATTTTTATTTCCAAACTGATTTTAACCAGTTCTATAGAAAGAAAACATTC